AAGAAAAAGACTGGGTATCCAACTTAAGCTGTATTTCAATTCTATGAACCTTTTCAATCAGATTGAGAATGATAAGAAACATGTTTTTCTTTAATGGTATTTATGGTGGCAGTGACCAAAAAAAGGGGTCTTGTAAATTTTGATGCAATATTACATAATGCTTAACAGCATAACCAGCACCATTTTTTTTTTCATATGTATCATGGATATTCAAAAAAATTAATTAAAAAGGTTTTCATGCCCATGGAATTTTAAGTCACACCCTGAAAATGCCATGATGTGAAAAATGAACATTTCACAAAAAAAAAATCATCTGTTGAGTCTAGGTTTCAGACTTAACCTGTACTTTATTAATTGACATCAGTTCTGTACATTTGAAGAGAATAAGTCACATGGTTTACAATTTATCGTGTTACATGTAAAAGTCCACATCAACATGGAAGACTTGATGTTGGCTATATGCACAGACACAATATGTCTGTACATAAAAATTATTTCTTGTTTGAACATTGGGAATAAAAGGTTCTTATGTGTGATATTGAAACTTGTATAAAGACTTGTCGTATAACCTATATACTGGTATATAGGTTTAATTCACATGTTCACTGGACTTAACTGTTAGACGTGGTCCTTTTATTAATGGTTGAAATAATATGCCTCATACTATTAGTTAAGAAACATGTTTGTCTATAGAAGCTATTTCATATAACCATCTTTACCCAAAAGTTTATAAAGAATCTATTCTGACAATAAGGCACCTTTCTACATTTTGTCATTTTCATATTTTATATCCTATAGACCTTATCAATGTAAAGTGTGCTCACCCTTTTCAAGAGACACATTCAAGGCCACAAAGGGGTACTGGTGTCTGTTGTACATGTGGTAGACTTCATTGATCACTTTAGATAACTAAAATGAGACACATGAATGCAACAAGTGAGTTAAGCATATATTCACAAATGTAGACAATTACGTATGCAATCTGGAAAAGGCTTCTTCTGAGACAGCTGCTTTTATTTTAAGACACGTTTTAAAGCATAACATTGGAATGATTTTATATACCAAAAGCAGAAGTGTCAAATTTAATGTCAAGTACAGCAGCAGTGTCTCTGTGACTGATGAAAGAGACAAACTACATGATCTATAATAAAACCCAATCATATAAAAGTGACATAGAAATCAAACAATCTATGAAAGGTTGTATCATTTGTGCATTTTCCTTAAAACAGAATTAGTAGAATTAATGAAGTAGAATTTCTTACTTTAGTGAGATCACAAGGTCTTTTATTGATGAAAAAGAACTGTCTGTCGGTGCTACTCCTGCCAAGACCATGATCACATTTAGAGATGAACCCTGTAATTCTTAATAAAGTACCACTGCACTGAATATAATGAGTCTATATATATATATCACTACAGGATCAGAGGCGATACTGCCTCCAGGTATTGTACCACCAGCTGGAGTAAGATCAAATCCAAGGGCATCTCCACATATGACTTTCAGTCAACCATCTGTGGAAATTTTTACCATAATTCCTTCGGTTTGGGAGATATTTAGCATTTAATTTTGCAAATTTTGGACAAGGATGCATTGCAACAAGTGCCACACCTAGACCTCAGCACCGACAAAGCCCAAAATTTACGTGGATCGAGTGGAGATTATATATCCGACCTAAATCCAAGAGATGGGTGCGCAGGTTTTTGTAGTCTAGGAGAAGCGGTAACAGTAACTTAGCATGGAGTCAGCGGAACATGCGGGTCAACTAAAAACCATATGTACCGCCAGCGCCTACGCTGGTGGTACAATAATGATACATAAGAAAAATCTTAAATATTGATTTTAATCTTCAAAACTCTAATCTGAATGAATAATTTTAATTGTTTAAACAACAACACATACATATATTAAATAAATAAATAAAATAAAATAAAAAAATAAAAATAAAGTAATCATTTAGAAACTACCTGGTTTAAAAAATACTATTCTACAACACTCAGACTTCTTTAAAATAGACAGCAAAACTTGGAAACATACAGACAATGAGAAAAAATTAAAAAATTACAATGAATCTTAAAACAAATATGGCATAACAGCTTTCTTAAAACAAGTAAAATAAAGTAAAACAATGATTTTTGCCAAAATAAAAAATAGATCATTTTTTGGAACAATAATTGGCTCATTCTGATTTTTTTTTAATCAACCTGCTCTTTTACGAAGCAGTCACAATGAAAATATTAAATAACAACATTTCTAGCAGTTATGATGTAGACAACAGCTGTGTTGGACAGCAATGGTATAACACACAGAGATTAAAATATATGCAGACATTTACAGCATCTGTATATGAAAACAGTAAATGCTACTTACTTCAACAAACCATTCTTATTTGTACTTTTCAAACCATATTCCTCTGCAGTGTCATCTTCAGGCTGGCACTGGGTGAAGTCCATCAAAGTGTTCAACTATATATACGTATAGTAGACAACAAAAGGAAATGGATCATTACTTAAATATGTCCACATAAAAATATGATTACTTTTTATTTTGTTTTATTTTTTGTAAAATGTATTTCTTTTAATTCAATGTTTATCTCCAGCTTTCTGTGGAAATAAAATTGAGATTCAATGTACAAGTTCTTCAATATACTGAAATGACTGGCTACAGAATTTTGTCAACTACATCAAGTAGGTTAAGGCAACTGTCTCATTTGCATACCTGCTTGGCCCCAAACACATTTGTGATATTTTCTCTCATTCCTGGGTTTCCATTTGTGCTGATGACTGTACTTTTCTTCCTGGTCAGGTATTACAGAAATAAAATTTATAGTGATAACAGTAATAACATAATTGTTGCTAGGTGAGGCAAGTAAATATAAACCCCTTTTCAGGCTGCAGATTTTTTCTTAATCCAAGAAAATTCTTAGCACTGGGCAATTTGATTTTTTTTTACTTCAAGCTGAAGATTCTTCCTCCAGGTAAGTGTTTACAATTGCACTTCATCTTACCCTTTTTCAGTGACATTGGTACAAGAGATCCGGACACCAGTTGCCACAATGCAATAACTATTTAACACCTGCACCATCTTGCTGAACTCCTTTTTCAGATTCCTCTGGAACTCCTTGTATCTGACTGGCAGTGTGGAGAACAACTGGGAAAGACAAACTGTGGTGCCTTGCTGAAAACAATTGGGGACGATGGTCTCAACTGACACAATCAGGGTGGTTCGTTACAAGTAATGAAATTACAGGTGGATCCTCTGCTGCCATTACCATGAGATTTTCAAGGAAATGTTTTACAGATAAAACTAGGAGAACATGATCTGACACATCCTTTGTAACCTTCAAGCTTTCCACAAAATACTTGCAGCACATATCTTTCTTTCACTGTTATGATATGTTTTCCACAAGCTTTTAAGTTGTCAAATAAGTAGAAGAATCTTACATAAATGGTGTCTGTTCATTTATAATTATTAGCAGTTAATTCATTTATATATCACTATTATGGAACAGAGTAATAGTAATGTTTACCTGCCGGGCACATGGTGTTTGGTTAATCAGCTTTCCATTGTGATCATACTCTAATTTTGTCCCCACTTTGCCATCAACATGGCATGTAGTTATGGTTAATTTGCTAAATTGAATATGAATGAGAATGACAAACAGCTCAACAATCATAGCAGTGTGATAGTAAATGAGCATATTGTTGTCAAACCATCTTGACTTAAAGATCAAAGAAAACTACTTATATTTCTTAATATTGACTATTATTATAAGAAAACCTAGAAATAATGGAAAATTAACCAAAAAACAACTGCTACAATTTCAATTTCAGTTATTATTGTACATTTGAAAAAAATTCCTTACAATTCAGGCACCAGATTTACAAATCTATTGCTTTGGACTGCTGATTGATATCACAGAATGTAAAAGTGTTTGGTAGAATGCGATACTTGAAATATTTCTGCTGACATAACAGCTTTACCACATATAAGTAGCAGTGTGAGGTGAATGTGCCAATGCATACAGTTGCGTNAAAAGCCTTTATTTGCCCACCCCTAGTAATAAAGTAAAGTCTAACTGCAGAAGTTGGGGCAGTGTACTGTTTTTACATGTATGAAATAACCTCACTGTTAAACAATAAATGAAATTTCAAACATAGCTCACTACTACATTGTAAATATTTCTAACTGCTATTTCAGTCTTTATAATCACCTAAGAGCACAGAGAGAGCTCAGAGCCTCTCCGCGGAAACCAAACGTCTCCACACTAACCAGGTCAGCAAAGTCCTGCAGCTTGGAGGTGTGATGTTTTAATGCTGTAAAGTAACCATACAGTAATCCATCAAATTAATACACAAAAATTATGCTTCTTCAGTAACAAGCATTCACCAAAAAATTTAATATTCAGCAAAATATTATATTCAACATGTTCAAATAAAGCAAGTCTGCTGCATTGGAAGTCCATACTACCACCTAAAATAACCTAAAGGTCAAGGGGAGAATATATTTTCCAGCCCCTAAATGTTTGACCATCGACAGCCTGGTGTGAATAAAACTCAGAAAAAAAAAAAAAAAATATATATATATATATATATATATATATATATATATATATATATATATATATATATATATATATATATATATATATATATATATATGGTTTAGAAAAGGGTGGGCATCGTTATCAACATGGGCAGACAATGATCACAATCTAGATAAAAATCATCATCTCAGTATTAAGGAGAAAGAACTAGAGTCAGTCTAGCATCTTGACTTCTTACTGAGTCCCTCAAAGTTGCTCTCCTCCACCCCAAGCCCATTGTCCACCACCTCCACCAGGTCACTGCCATATTCCCTGAGACGCACCTCTGAAATGTGGAAAAAGAATGGATGAACCCATTGCTCAGAGTTAATGCATAACTAGACACCAAAGATGGCACATATAGAGACATAAAGAAAATTTAATGGAACAGAACAATGACAGCCAGGCAAGATGAATGGAGAAAGTTCTAAAACTAGATCTAGACAGCTAATCTTACATATATACACTCAGTAACAGAAAAAAGTAATTTCCAAGCTTTAAATTGAACAAAAGGCTGACACAGTGGTACTCCTAAATCTTGAATACAGTTTTTGATATATGCATCTTAAAACAGATCATCAAGAGTGAATTAATAAGGGTCTACCATTATCTACACAGGCTGGTAGCCAGGGGGATTCAGGGGGTCGAAAAGAACCACCCTTTTTGCCATGAAAAGGTCCCCTCTGGGTAAAATTTTACCAGTACAGCTTTTAACTAAATCTAGGTTGAAAGTCACAACAGTCAGTAGTATTTAGCCAACTTGGATAAAAATCTTTTTACTAGCCAAAATAAACTTTATACTAGTTTATAGTTTGGCCATAATTTTGACAAGCTAGCATAAGCTTGCCTAAAAGTAGCTACCTATAATTGAAGCACCAGCATCAATACTGTTCTCCACAAGTTCTTTCACAGCAGTAGCTAAGTTCAGCACCACCTGTCCTGAACATATACGATGCACAGACTTCTTATCAATAGCCTGGATGCCTGCAGCCATTTTATCACACCAGAGAAAGAATTAACTGTATGCAGGCTCTGAAACAAAATAATGACAATCATTAAAAAATAAAACATTAAAAACACTGCATGGGAATATAGTGCCTATCGACTGAAGATGCATAAAATGCCACTAAACACACAAAAAGGTGCATGATCTACTCTGGTATTTAAATGTGGCTTAATTACAATGCATGTTTAGCANTTAGGAGTACCACTGTGTCAGCCTTTTGTTCAATTTAAAGCTTGGAAATTACTTTTTTCTGTTACTGAGTGTATATATGTACGATTAGCTGTCTAGATCTAGTTTTAGAACTTTCTCCATTCATCTTGCCTGGCTGTCATTGTTCTGTTCCATTAAATTTTCTTTATGTCTCTATATGTGCCATCTTTGGTGTCTAGTTATGCATTAACTCTGAGCAATGGGTTCATCCATTCTTTTTCCACATTTCAGAGGTGCGTCTCAGGGAATATGGCAGTGACCTGGTGGAGGTGGTGGACAATGGGCTTGGGGTGGAGGAGAGCAACTTTGAGGGACTCAGTAAGAAGTCAAGATGCTAGACTGACTCTAGTTCTTTCTCCTTAATACTGAGATGATGATTTTTATCTAGATTGTGATCATTGTCTGCCCATGTTGATAACGATGCCCACCCTTTTCTAAACCATATATATATATATATATATATATATATATATATATATATATATATGGTTTAGAAAAGGGTGGGCATCGTTATCAACATGGGCAGACAATGATCACAATCTAGATAAAAATCATCATCTCAGTATTAAGGAGAAAGAACTAGAGTCAGTCTAGCATCTTGACTTCTTACTGAGTCCCTCAAAGTTGCTCTCCTCCACCCCAAGCCCATTGTCCACCACCTCCACCAGGTCACTGCCATATTCCCTGAGACGCACCTCTGAAATGTGGAAAAAGAATGGATGAACCCATTGCTCAGAGTTAATGCATAACTAGACACCAAAGATGGCACATATAGAGACATAAAGAAAATTTAATGGAACAGAACAATGACAGCCAGGCAAGATGAATGGAGAAAGTTCTAAAACTAGATCTAGACAGCTAATCGTACATATATACACTCAGTAACAGAAAAAAGTAATTTCCAAGCTTTAAATTGAACAAAAGGCTGACACAGTGGTACTCCTAAATCTTGAATACAGTTTTTGATATATGCATCTTAAAACAGATCATCAAGAGTGAATTAATAAGGGTCTACCATTATCTACACAGGCTGGTAGCCAGGGGGATTCAGGGGGTCGAAAGAACCACCCTTTTTGCCACGAAAAGGTCCCCTCTGGGTAAAATTTTACCAGTACAGCTTTTAACTAAATCTAGGTTGAAAGTCACAACAGTCAGTAGTATTTAGCCAACTTGGATAAAAATCTTTTTACTAGCCAAAATAAACTTTATACTAGTTTATAGTTTGGCCATAATTTTGACAAGCTAGCATAAGCTTGCCTAAAAGTAGCTACCTATAATTGAAGCACCAGCATCAATACTGTTCTCCACAAGTTCTTTCACAGCAGTAGCTAAGTTCAGCACCACCTGTCCTGAACATATACGATGCACAGACTTCTTATCAATAGCCTGGATGCCTGCAGCCATTTTATCACACCAGAGAAAGAATTAACTGTATGCAGGCTCTGAAACAAAATAATGACAATCATTAAAAAATAAAACATTAAAAACACTGCATGGGAATATAGTGCCTATCGACTGAAGATGCATAAAATGCCACTAAACACACAAAAAGGTGCATGATCTACTCTGGTATTTAAATGTGGCTTAATTACAATGCATGTTTAGCAGGTACTGTTCCTGTGATTATAAGTGGCCAATGGAACATCTTGAGTACAGATGATATAAAACGTGAAAAAATGCAGCTTCTACTTAATCATTCTGGAGGGGAAAGTTTTTTTTTTTTTTTTTTTTTTTTTTTTTGCCAAAGATGTGATGATAATGATACAACTGAACACATACTGTAAGATACATGTACAACCTGAATATAAAAAGGCAGATCTGCTCGTCCAAACTACAGTACTGTACTGTACATACCAGTAGAGATGCGTTTCAGGATGAGAAAAGTGGACTTTACAAACACAAATTAGATTTCCAACACAATAACTCTGTGTCTGTACATAAAAATGGAAGTAACTTGTTGTAAGGAGGAATATTTGATTCTATGATAACTGCAGATCGATATAATAAACGTACATCATATCAGCTACTAGTAGAGCTATCGTCGCCTTCTGACGTAGGATTTGCTATTAGAACTAATTGGAGATAAATAATCTCCTTAGAAAGCTAGCAGCCGATTCCTTAATTTTGTGTTGTTGCTCATTACCAAATATGACTTACCAAAATTTGGGTCAATCATAGTTGTGGTTAGAGCTCCCGCCACACTGCGATTGGGTCAGCCCAAAGCGAGACTGCCACACTTCCTGTGTTAAAGATCTGCCGCCGTGAGTATGCATCGTACCTAGCAGTGTTAGAAATTAAGGCTGGACCGTCTGCCCGGGGTGACAACTTTCAGAACGGGCTGAGAAGTTTTCCCACCTGGCAGACATTCAGTCCAGCTACTTTTCAAGATGGCTAGACTTTCGGTCCAGCAACTTATTTTCCTAAGAGGCAAACACTGGTTACCAGTAGTTTAGATATCACACTTTTTATGTTTACAACTTTCAGTGGAAACTTTCGGTTGTGTTTGCATTATAAACCGTTACAGCTGGAAGTTTAGTAGATCTTGCACATATTTTCCACAGGCATGTATCAGGCATAATCTGCTAGTCTAGTCTACCATAATTTAACCAGAAAAACTCTCCGAGAGCGCATACCTCCGTCAAGGCAGCAAGTTTTGATTATTATTGATTACTGATTGATTATTGATCCGGATCACCACCAAAAACTAATCACTTCTAAGTTAACCCGTTTCTGAGCTACCCTGAAAATTTCATCAAAATCGGTCCTTATAACATTTGGAGTTAAGTTGATCAAGGAGTTATAACAGATATAACTCCTTGAGTTGATGACAAACAAACAAACAGACAGAGAGACACAAACATGGGTGAAAACATAACCTTAGTGGAGGTATATATATATATATATATATATATATATATATATATATATATATATATTTATTTATTTATTTATTTATTTATCCAGAGAACTAAATGCAGAGATCAATCAGTTTGTAGTTGATCTCTGGAAAACATATCATAGCCTGTTGAAGAGGTAATTCAGCCCTAGTGTTCCCTTTGATACTACTACTGTTCTCTTTTCTATATATACAAATGTTTTCATTGTAGGTAGCAAAAAATGTTTTCATAGAATGTCAGTATCTTTTTAATACAGAGATATGTTTATTATTATGGACAACTGATAAAGCATACCTGCATGAATCGCACATGGTTTTCCATCTAACTGAAAGCATAATGGCATGTATTCAACACTTGGTTGTCATCCATATGAGGCAGTAAAAACCATTAAAACATTATTTTCAAAATAATCTTTCCCAGTCCACCAGGCAGCAGAAAGTTACTTCCATTTAATATGTTAAATTGTAATGACTACATTGACTTTTTCAGATAATGCAGTTCAGTGAATAAGTGGAAAATGATGACTGCATCCCAGGCATATCTCACAAGAAGAGTAATTCTTGGCTCCCAGTGTCATTTAGGATGTCCTTTAAAAAGTGCTGGAAGGCTAGTAGGTGTTGTCACAGGCAGATATCTGCACAGACACCATCATGGATCAGGGCATGGTCAATGCAGTTTGTGCCCAGTGTCAAGTGACTCAGATTCATGGAAAAAGAACCTTATTGTTACTTCTCCAATGTGTCATCACTGGACAATCAATCCTAGAGACACAGCAAGTAGTGTTTATGATTTTAAACATGTTTTATTAAGTGCCCCTAGGATAGGAGGGCGACACTTTGAGGTAACTAACTCATTGGATACCAAACTGTCACACCTAACACATCTGATAAGACGAGCCAATGTTATCACTCTTCCCAACAGATGTCACCACTCATCAGCCAATTCGAGATGCGCCAGAATGATTTTGACCAAGAGATATTTGTTTTGTACTAAACCAAAAAGGAAAGTTGAAGAAGAAAAGGAGGTTAAAACGAAAGGCAGTTTCCTACAAGGTGTGGTTGGAGACCTTAGAGAAGCAACTGATGACAGCCACATAACACAGTTACAAGAGGAGCTGTTCCAGAAACCTAAAGAGAAAAACAGAGAAACTTTCATTGCTGCTGTGTCTCAGTACAGGAACACTCCTAATGTGTATCGCAGGGGAGAGGTACTTTGTTAAAAACACCTGCATCCATTAGTGTTATTCCTGTTATAGATCATGCATTTTTATATTCAGACACTGTAAGTGTCTGTATATATTCTGATTGGTCTGTCTGTCTGCATTGTCACTGTTGCTGTCCTACACATGACGTTCGCCCCATAACTGCCAAACCGTACTTTTGTTTTACTTTAAATTTACTGAGTGGCTTTGTTTGGTAAAGAAGCAGATTGCTTTCACCCTGAGCTTCAGAGATAACTTGACACTTACCTCTTCACAATAGCCTATCTTCATCGTGTCAAGTTACCTCTGACCACATTTGATTGCTCCCGCCGCCCGCCAATCAAATTTAAATCCCGCACTCAATGACTCATTGAACGATCTAGCCAATGAACGCGAACGAGTCAAAGCGCGCTTTGTTCAAATCCGGACCAATCAAAGATAAGGCTGAATATCAGGGACTTGCCGTTACCTGTGGGCAGCATGTAAAATACATCATCCCTCAGTAGATAATGATGCAGGGCCTCAAACTGCTCTGGTTTTAATTCGGATATACTCATATTTTGCAAAGAATCAAGAGATAACTTAACACATTATTTTACGTAGTCACTCGTAGGAGACGCCATGCTTTCTTTGTGTACGGTTATGCACTCGGAACTACTCGGAT